AGTCCATCAAAGTTGAGGCCTCTCCTTACTCATGGAGCAGCCAGCACTCCAACGATAACCTTCTGCACGACGACAATATGTTTCGCTCCGGCCCCGGTTCTCCCACCAACACTGACCGCACATCCGTACCACCGCCACCAGTTCCTCGTCATGGCTCACCGCTGGCCTTCCGCAACAACGTGCCGTCTGATATCGTGGAGGATGAAGACGCAAACTTGTTGAAGGACTCACTGGCTGCCAGCCGCTTCCTTGGCAACAGTCAACCCAGCAACCCGTCTCCACAAGGAAGGTTCCGCAGAAATGAAGACACATTCTCGACAGGATGGGATGAGACGGACAGTAAAAAGGAGGAGGAGAACATGTTTGAAAACAGCACGGCTCGCCCACCCAAGCCCACGCACCACTACAGCTCCGGCAGCGGCAGCAACCCGAGCCCGCCTCGAAACAAGGTCATGACTCCCGCCGAGTTCGAGAAATACCGCAAAGACAAGGAACGTCGGGACAGCGCCAGCGAAACCGTGAAGGCATCCAACGAAAGCCGAGACGACGATGACGACCAGTACGAAGATGATGAAGACGACGTGGAGAAGGCGAAGTTGGCTGCCAAGCAGAGGAGGAAGCAGGAGGCGCACATGGCGGTCTACCGACAACAAATGATGAAGGTGACTGGCGAGCAGCCAAACCTTCCATCCGAACACGCTGCTCGTCCCAGCCTGTCAATGTCCCTCAGCACCCCCAACCTCGCCATCCCCCCGGGCCCTTTGACCGGCAAGTCAGACGCATCCGAAGAGGAGGACGAGGAAGTGCCACTCGCCATCTTGGCTGCCCACGGGTTCCCGAACAAGAACAAGCCGCCCACTCGCCTCATGAACATGGCATCCAACCCTGACCTGAGATCTTCGGTCCAGTCTCAGCCCCCTCAGCCTCAGCGCCCCGGGTCAAGCATGGGTGAGGGCACCGGTCCAAGAGGGACTAGTGGTGGCCATCTCCCCGCCTTTGCACGAAAGCTGCCACAGGATCCTTTCCTAGGTGCCGGCCTGATCAACGCACCCCCACGCGAATCCCTAACCTTCGGTGGTGGCTCGCCGGCTCCTGGCGCGGCCCCGGCTGTTCCCATGGGCGGCCTTGTTGGAGTTATTGCCAGCGAGGAGCGCTCCCGGGCCCTGCGTAGAGGCAGCCCCAATATTGAGGCACAAAACGTCAATCCTTTCACTGGTGCCCCGGTCGACCCTGCCGCAGCAGTCCCGCCGCAGATGATGTATAGCAACATGAACGGTATGAACGGCGGCATGGGCCAGATGGGCGGCATGGGCATGGGCATGGGCGGAATGCCCCAGATGCAGCAGATGCCTCAAATGCCCCAGATGCCCCAGATGATGCTCACTCCAGGAGACCAGGCCCAGATCCAAATGACTCAGCAGATGCAGCAGTTTATGCAGATGCAGATGCAGTTCATGCAGATGATGGCTACGCCAAACCAGATGAACATGAACATGAACAATGGCATGACGAGGCCGATGAGCCATGTCATGACGCCGTCGATGAACGACAGCCAGCGACAGTCCTACTTTGGCGACTCTCTGCTCGAGCCCCCCGGACTCGATTCCCGGTCCAGAACCATGAGCATGGTGCAGCCCAGCTCGGCTTCGTGGATCCAACCAGGAGGTGGCTACACCCCATCCATCCACGGAGGCATGGGCGGCGGCGGCGGGTATGCGCCCAGCATTCACGCCCCAGGCCTTGGGTATGCCCCCTCGATCGCACCCTCGGAGCGAAGCAACGTGGGCTTACCAGGGCGTTACAGACCAGTGACGCAGGCTCCCGCACCCCTGGACTCAGGTCGGCGCATGTCCGTAATGTCGGGCGCTAGGGGCTGGGACGAACCGCCCAAGGTGATGCAGCACCAGCAACACCAGCAGGAGAACAAGACCACGCTGCAGAAGTCGAGCAGCAACTCTGACGATGATGACGAGGAAGGATGGGCCGCCATGAAGGCCAAGAAGGAGAAGAAACGCTCTTTGTGGAAGACGAAGAAGAGCATTGGCAGCGAAATCGGAGCTTTAATTTCGTAACGGACATGGGAAATGCAAGAGAAAAAGGAGGACGAGCCCGAGGCTTCATGGCTGGGAGCATGGAAAAACAAAAGACTGGACATACACGACATGACCGCAAGCCACGCTCCTCGTACGGGACTGTGTTTGGGGTTTTGCCATTTTTTGAGAGGTGTAAGCCTCTCGAGACACACCCTTACCCTTGTGTATACTTTTTGAGGGATCATCTTTTTCAGGCGTCGTTGCGGGAGTGAAAGAGCAGACGGAACGGCTCGGACTGTTCAATACTGAAAGTCATGATAGACAGCTCTTGGTGCAATAATCTAGTAATGTTGGAGAAACCCCGAGGCATATTTCTCTTCTCGATCGCGGGTCTCAATGCGGTCGGCGCCGTCTATGATTGGTGCCACGTCCCCGTCAATCAGATCGAAGTGAGGTAGCAATATTTCTCTTGGCCTAACAGGTAAGGTGTTGGGTGGATTTCTGCCCATGATGTGGTAGCGAATACCCTTTTTGGGTACTTGTGCCTTGTTTTTTCCTCCTCCATGTTTTTTTCTTCCTAAGCTGGTATCCGTCGTCTACGATAATCTCCGCTCAAAGAGGTGCATGCAACAAAAAGAGCCAGACTTACTCAATCTTGCCCGCGGTCCAAGCCTTGCGCTTGACGCCCAGTTCGACCGCAGCAAGACCCCAATCCTCGCCGTGGTTATGGCCACCGGAAGTGATACCAGCGCGAGCCTGGGCCTGCTCGTCGTTCAGGACGGTGAGAACGCCGAAGATGACGGGTACACCGGTGTCGAGCTGTACGCGCATAAGGCCGTGAGACACAGCGTCGGCGATGTACTCGAAATGCATGGTCTCGCCCTTGATGAGGACGCCGACGGCGATGATGGCGTCGAAGGGGCCGCCTGATGTTTCGTTGGGGAGGGAAGCTAGGTCTGTGGTTGAGGCGCCGAGGAGGTCACCGGCGGAGGAACCGGAGCCGGCTTGGGCTGACTGAACTTGGGAGGCGGAGAAAAGCCTTGAGGAAAGAACCATATCAGCGGCAGGCCCTATTGGATTGGACAATGTTTTCGCACATACATATCGCGCAGGCTCAATGCGACCGAAGAGGGAGGGATCCTTGGGTAGGGAGGGAGGAAGGGCTTGAGCTTACCTCTGCACAGCGAAGGGGAGCTCCCAGGATCCCGGGACAGACTGAACGACGATGTTGGACTCCTTGACACCACAACCGAGCAGCTTCTCCTTGGCGCCCTGAACGAGGGGCTCGATGATGGTCGGGTTCCAGCGGGCGTGGACGATGCCGATGCGCAGGGCGCTGCCGTCGTGCTCCTGGGGGGACGGTCCCTTGATGCCGGACATTTTGGTCAGGAGGTATTCGAGAAGATGTATTCAAGAGATGCTGTGGGTATAGTAGGCAGGCAGGTGTGGTGGTGGTGTTCAAGTCGAATGTACCGGATTGCGTGGTTAAGAGAGAGGGAAAGCAAGGTAGCTTCTATGGCGGGGTGGATGTTGCGAAAGGGAGGGGTGATGACAGCTGGGAGCTACTGATGTCTGGGTGCTTATGAATTGGGCGGGCCGGCTGACTGCTCGGTGTTCGGGTACGTGCTCTCAGGGCGGGAGGGAACGAGAAGGCGGAACGGGACCTTGCGATGCGGGGCATGCGGTTTGAGGTGTTGCGTGCCTGGGAAGAAACAGCTGCGGGGCTTTGGCGCTCTCTTGGATCTTGCTAGGTATGAACCCTGCAGCAAGGAAACATGCGCAGCCAGGGAGCTGCAAGCTGCATCCGTCTCCAGCTGGATGTGAAGTAAGGTCAGGCCGCGGGTACCCCGGCTGTTGCCAGGTGCAGACTGGAAGCTGGCAGTGCCCATTCCATGCATTGCCATTTCCATTCTTGGAAAGAGGACTCGACTTGCTTCACTTACATGGTTCCTGCCTTTCCCTCTTCTTTCCCCTCCCTCCTCATGCCCTCTCTCTGGCCAACTGCAGAAACTCCCATGCTCCACTGTAATTGATCTTTTCACTTATCGTGCATCTCACAGGCGCGATCTGCGACCGAAATCACTGGCTTTCACAATACCAATCGAGAGCGAACCCGCTTGGGGTTTGCTTCTCATCCATGTACACCATTTCAATCAATTAGACCTCTCTCCTTCGTTTTCGATCACCATGTCAATTACTCGACTTCCTCTAACGACTGTACGCCGTCTAGGCTCCTCCGTTGTCATCGTGACTCCTATTTCGCTGGTCAAGGAGCTCGTTGACAACTCCATTGACGCCGGCGCAACTAGCATCGAAATCACCGTCTCGGCTAATGCCGTCGACAAGATCCAGGTCCGAGATAACGGACATGGTATCGACTCCGAAGACTTCGATGCCCTTGGGCGGCGATCACACACCAGCAAGCTTCGGACTTTTGAGGAGCTTCAGTCCAAGGGCGGCCAGACGCTTGGGTTCCGTGGCGACGCACTCGCAAGCACAAACATCATGTCCAAACTCACCATCATAACCAGGACGGCCAGGGAACCTGTTGCGAGCCTTCTCACGCTCAATCCCAATGGGGGAGGAATCTTGGCCCAGAAGCCCGTGGCCAGTCCCGTCGGAACGACTGTTGACGCCTCCGATATCTTTGCCGGGTTTCCCGTTCGGCGGCAGCAGGCTATCAAGGAAAGCAAGAAAGCCCACGGCCAGATCAAAGAATTGCTTTTCACATATGCTCTGACAAGGCCTCGGATCAGACTCTCGTTGAAGATTCAAAGCAACCACAAACTCTCTTGGTCTTATGCTCCCACTGCTGGGGCCGATGTCAAGGAAGCAGTTCTCCAAGTCTTCGGCAACGAGCTCGTTTCTCAATGTGTCTAGAAGACATATAGTGGCAACACTTCGGAGGGCGGGGCGACGCGGAGCAGGCCAAACACTCCGGCATCTATTCTCCGTCTTGAGGCTTTCATGCCGAAGCCCGGCGCGAAAGCGGCTGCGATAGCGGGAAAAGGATACTTCATCTCGGTTGATGCTCGTCCCATGGCAACCGCCAGAGGTACCATAAAGAAGCTCGTTGGGATATACAAACAGCATTTACGCAAACATGTCGGGGCTTCATCAGAGAACCTCAAGACTCCATTCATCAGACTCAACATTGAGTGTATACTTGGCAGCTACGACCCGAACGTGGCCACAAACAAAGACGAGGTTCTCTTTGCGAACGAGCCGAAGCTTTTGGAGTTGTTTGAGGACATGTGTCAGGATTTGTATCAGAACTGCGATGGCCAGGCGGACATACCCGAGCGAACTGGTCTAGTTGAGTCTTCAAGCTCTGGCCAGAGTGGTATGGAATTAATCTCACACAGTGATGAAGAAGTATGATTGCTAATTCAGGGACGGCTATCAGGGCACCTGTACGATCTAGAGAACACATCCGCTGAGAAGGCCAGCGATATCATTAATAGACAGCTCGCAAGTCCCCCTTCAGACAGGACTTCTGCGGTTGGAAGCTCTGCCGCGTTTGTCAACAAAGCAGGTGGCTATCATGACCATCCAGACAGAAGTGCCTTGGAGTATACCACTCAACTAGTGGATGACACGCTATCCCTGGTCAATGAGAAGGCGGGTCAAACCAACAGCAGCGAGGCACAGATATCACGGCAAGATTCTCTAGAATCCTCTAGTGATTCTGGGCTGACTCGGTCTTTCCTCCGGTCGAGTTGGGACGTCGACATGGCAAGAAGTCGCACTGCGAGCCCGCTGGGATACACACAGGAGATATTTCTCAATCCGCTGCTCTCGGACTTTCCCGAGCTCCTGAGTACGCAGAGAATGGAGCAACGCCAGCGGGAGAAGCCAAACCCGTGGTCTCTAGCCAAAAAAACAGCGAAGAAAAGTGGAGGATCTCATAACGACCATTTGGAAGATTCGGACGACATTGAGCAGAGTGGAGGCAACACCACTGTCCCGGTCCTCAAAGAGCCGACTCACATCCCCAACGTTGAGAATTTCGTGCATGAGACGGAGAGCATGGCCAAGCTGGTTCCTGAAGCCCGAGAAAATGCCCTTGGTCAATTGTCTCAACGCCACCAGGCACTTGCTATGCAGAGGGAACATGCACTTGAGACGGATGACTTCGAGTCTTCCGGGTTGAGGACGTTCGACACCCCACATGATTTTCCGCAGGACCCAAGCCACATTGGCGTGCCGCGAATTCTGGGAGATGAAGAGCAATTCCAGCGATCCGGACTGAGACACGAATTCGATGATCTGCCGGACGATATTGCGAGGGATTTGGGTTTACACCGGCGCCGCGCACAAACACCACATCCATCTTCGATTCGTGGCCACGAAAATTTCCTTGGAACTCCTCCGTCTTCTTCGAGTCCTCTGCCCAAGCCATGTCGTGTACCTGCCCGTGCAGAGGTCGGTAGACAAGAACGAAGCTCTGCTCGAAGTGAACGGCCTCGATGTGCCCAAGGGCAACCAAGTGTTGGAGATCGCAAGAGAAATGGACTCGGTCAAAGCAAGCTTGCTTTCAATGCCACCAAGAACTTGAAAAGCTCACAGCTCGGAGAGTTCCAAAACGCCGCTGCAGGTTGTGCTCCTCGAATGGGCGTCGATCATGGAAATTTCGATGATAAGTATGATTCTGTACCAGAGATCACCAGGCATTTACGGCATAACAGCCCCAGTCCAACAGAGATGGACGTTGCTGGTGCCATGGAAAGGTTGAACGCTCTTCGTCCTAGGTCCCACAGCATCATTCACAAGGACTTGGACCCTCCTGCCAGCCCAAGTCACACAGAGAGAGACATTAGCAGTGCTGTATCAAGGATGAAGGCTCTCCGCCATCAGAAAGACGCTTTCGAACCAATCGAAAATGCGACATCCGAGGAAAGAGGGAGACCCATGACCCGAGGGTCGACAACAACCACCTTAGAGATTCCACCACGTGGATATCTGAGGAAGAGACTGGCATCGAGGTCTAGGTCGAGGAACAAGACTCACAAGAGGATGAAGTCTGAGTTGCTGCCCTTCAAAAGACCGTGCGATGATTTACACTTGCAGTTAAAATCTCTCTTGGTCGATCTAACCCAACTGCGAAAACAGGTCACAAGAGCTTTCGCTTGGGATCTGTATGTCTCCAGGGACATACCCGAATCGCCAGCATTTGATCTAGAGCCGGCAGAAATGGATGATATAAGTAACAGACTTCAGGAGATCGTAGGTGAATGGGCGTTTGACAAGTATGCAGTGGAGCTCGACCTCGAAATTAACCTGGGCGATCTGCTTTGGGGGGATGCATAGAGTGGCTGTTTGACGATGGTTTCTTAGAACACGTACATCGGATGGCGAAATTGCACGGAATGAATTGTTCGATGTGTATTGATAGAGTTGCAGGTTCCCTGATATGGGGGAGACAGATAGCATGCCAAATAAAAGTTACCGTACTTTATATGCGTATTGTGAGGCTATCACTTGACCACACGATAAATACATTTCCTGTAGTTAAGAGTGTTTCAACAATGTCGTCGTCGTCGTCGTCGTCGTCGTCATCGTATCTTCTCGGCTCTTATGCTTTCCCATGAGATGGTTCGGCCCTCTGCTTTTGAGACACATCTTATCGTGCACGACATAAAGACCATGGTGCATTCAGTTCGACTTGACCCGGGAAATCCACGGAGGGAGATCTACATACAGGCACTCATGCTAAAAACACTTGGCATTTGATATTTGCGCACCGGTTTACCGACCCGCTCCGGACGACCGGGATGACAACGGCCGGGACAACAGCACGGGACGACAGCACTTAGCAAGACAGCACAAATACTCCACAGAGAATCGTGGCCACATATGAGTGGGCATATTCAGCCGCAAGTGAAACTACAGTACCCAGCAGGAGTCACGTGTAACCATTTATCAGTGTTGAAGAGCAGGAGCTAAGATTGGCAACATGCATCGGCCGAGTAACACACGCCATCTCCGCGTTGCCGTATCGTATTCCCACGGCTAGATGCATGCCATTCATCTACTGCCACCAAGTGTAAAGGTCAAGCCAAGCTAGCGACCCGTGACGCAGTTCTTGAGACTGGCAGAAGGTGGGGGGTTTGGAAAGTGCGCATCGTATTTATTATGATAATGAACCGCGTGGACAATTCCACCGAGGGGCGCAGTAGCCAAAGAGCTCCTTCTCTGCATTACTCCGGAGCCTGGGTCTCCAATTGCGGCGTGTAACCGGCCCCTAGGAAACAAAACCTATGGCCGGGCGCTGTGGCTTGCCGGAACGGCGCATGTGAGAGAGAGGGGCCGGTGGTGTGGGATCCGTATTTTCCTGTGACTCTTCTCTGGCGTTCTTATTGACTTAAATCTTTTCGAGTACGGGCTGTTCATCGGAAGGAAGACAACGGTAGAACCGGCTTTGCACATGTGTTGGATAATAACGCGTGGTGCTCTTTCATTTTTTATTATTATTATTAACGTTCTTCCGACGTGCTATCTCGGGTCGTCGTCGGAGCCAATTATTAGTCAAAAGCGTCATACCTTTAGCGGGCACGCAGGGCATCAATCATCACTTGGGGAAATAAAGTCCATGCTGCGTGGACATGGGTAGACGTTCCCAACGACATCTTAGTAGGGCGACCATGGACTACGGAACATCGCTCGGCAGTCGGCTCCGTGTACTATGCAGTATGCGAATGGAACTCGACTCGGTCATGAATTGTTGCTGTTGGTTTCCCTGCTCCGATTTCGTCATTTGGAGTGCGGGGCAACCGCAACCATGAGAAATGGTTAAAAGGGATGGACCATACTTGTAGTTGTAACTTAGGTGATATTCTCCACCTAGACTGAGATGAAGGGAATAAATGTTACTCTCCCACGGCAATCGTCGCTGGGAACGAGGGGACGACATTGGGGAAGATGGAGGTCTGTCGGGCGGGGCGGCTATAATAGTACATTAGTTTTGAGTTCATGGTTCAAGAATGATATGTGTGCGCGCGTCCTGTCCTGGGACGACACTGGGAGTACGTGCGAATAGCAATGACTGGCATACGTGGGGAAGAGTTCCGCGACCCTGCAGTGCCGGCGGAGTTCCATTTGACGCTGAAAATAGCCGGCTAAGGCAGGGACTTGAGCGAGAGCTGACACGGGGATTGGGTTGTGCAGGGAGTGCGGTTCGTATTACTGATGTGAAGGTCGGCTAGGAACAAGATCCTTAGGTACTCTGGCATGTCTCTTGATGCGGATGGGTAAGGTGATTGGGTAAGCCGGCGAGTTCGCTATCAACGTGGGATGATGACAGGAGATGTCTCCTGAGGCACGGCGGATGTCCACCGGCTGGAGGTGTACTGCATAGTACTGGCCCTTGTCCTCAGGGAGACTGTGCAGACTACGTAAGATGGTTGCAACGATACCTACGCGAGAAGTGTAATTCGACGTGGAATGCTGTCGGTGTAAACCAGGCACTTGATACGTAGTAGGAGCACATTGGGTGCCAGGGCCTGGGTTTGTATGGATGAGGTGCCCAGCGGTGCGGATGGGGGTATAACAGAGCTGACATTATACGTGGAGAATCTGGCAATCACAATTGAATGCTGATGCATGTCGGCGCCTGTTTCTGGGTCTTTGCTCACGTTGACGCGGGTCGGGCGATCACTTTGCGACGCCATCGCGGCCTGGTGGCCGGGTGCCTTGGAAGAAGTCTTAAAAAAAGTGCATGTCCTTGGGGATAGGGCGATCTCGATGCGGAACTATCGCGGTTGCCGTTGCTACGTGCTACCTTACATGATTGACTGCTATTGCTGTCACTGCCGCTGCGATGTTTTGTCATGGCACCGAACCAAAAGATGACTGATGAGTGGTGGCCGGGGTTTCGTCTGAAGTCGTCATAGTTTGTCCTGCCACTGTCTGGTTCAGCTGTGATCCCGGCAAGTGCTGGTCCATGCGCGCTGGTCTTCATCTCCGTTCAATTGGAGACTGCGATACGATGCGCAGTTGGTATCCCAAGACCAAGGTTCTTTAGAATAGACGAACACCGCGACGGTTCGTCGGTTAAGGCGTGGGCGTGACAAAGCCGCGCACACTTGGGGGAGTTTGGCGTACTCACCATATGAAACACGGCCGGTGCAGGCGCATTGCGATGGCATTGAGCGTTATCTTAGCCAGAGACAAGAGTCTCAGTTTCGGGCTTCACACTACCTAGCTGGCGAGAGTGGTACGAATAGGAATATCTGTACTTGCATCTTACTGGAGCATGATGCGTAATACGGGTGCCTCTCAGCGGCACGTCATAGAGTGCCAGTGCTGGGGGGTTTCAGACGGGCTGCTACTACGTAGTATACCTAGGTTCCTACCTTTAGCCAATTTGAGCAACTGGACCTTTGTTTTGGCCTTTTTTTTTTTTTTTTTTTTTTTTTTTGGCACCTTCTCTTCTCGCCATGCGTCCATCCTGCCCCAGCAGTCGGGCCCTCTTCAATGTCACTCCGTCCCCCGGACAGTCTGCACCGACTGATGGCCGTGGGTAGGTATGGATACCTAGTAGGTTGACGACAAGACCAAAAGAAGGGGTCTGGTCCGCAGAGCAAGTGTCGAAAGCACTAGACCTGGCCTGATGCCGGCTGGTTGAGGAATTCTTACCTGACATGACCTGAATTGAAATGGACCAGACGGGCAACGACGGGACTCGGCTGCGCCTTACTGAGTGGAGACCGCATATCTGACTGGGGGGGGGGGGGGGGGGGGCCCAACNGGGGGGGGGGGGGGGGGGGGGGGGGGGGGGGCCCAACGAGAGTCCAACCGGCAACTTTGGACTCGACCGGGGTCCCTTGGACCAGTGGCTTTTCTGGCCAGGGGGCCGGGGAGCAGTGAGGGAAGGACGTGGGCGAAGGAAGTGGAGGACGGTGCTGCCCTGGTGAGCAGGCAACAGCAGATTCCATCCATCGCGGCGTAAGGTACCTTAGAATAAGGGCACCTTACTGCCTCCTGGCAATGGCCTCGCGCCAGCGCACATGATCGGTTCTCAGTCCCGGAGGGGATGCTGGCTGTCCATGCCTTCCTGTCCTTCCTGTCCTTCCTGTCTGTACCGAGGAGGAGGGAGCCGCGGAGACCCAAAGAAGGGCGACTTGACAAGGGACGAGGGATCCAAAGAGACCGGACTGGTGTGGACGGGATGCTCAGCCACACGGGGGGCCTTGGAGTGTTTTCGTTTCCGCGACGCAACTTTCTGGGCCAACGATCCGCTCCTCGCTAGGTGTTCGTAGGCACCTACCTACATTACCTTACCTTCCAGGTTACCTACCTTACCTAAGGTAGGTGGTGCTGCGGTGCACAGCACACGGCACCCTGGCGTAGGCGTTGGCTTTGGCGTTGGCGTAGGCGTTGGCATTGGCAGGGGATATGGATGGGTATGGGGATACTGTTTTGTTAGCTGCTGTCTTCCCATTCCCCTACCTTTACCCATCTTTTGCCCGTCTGCCTTCCTTGCATCTCGCCCACCCACCTACCTAACCTAGGTACCTTACCTATTCGTACCCGCGCAACATCATCCCGTCCAATCTTTCCTGGCTGCGCTTGCGTCTGCACCACCACCACACCTCGCTTTACTCAGTCAGACACTCGCACACCCGTCTGCCGTTTTTCCTCCGCTCGCCCCTCCTCGAATTCCTCTTCTCTCACCTTACGCTGTTTCTCCGACACCCCATCGAAACGACTTCTCCATCCATCCAGAATTGTCGACTCTGCGAACCGAACAGTACAGCCGATCCCAAAGCTCAACTACATCGAGCGAACGAACCGAACATACCGACACGACTGGAGGCCAGGCGAGGCAAGGCGACTACAGCGGGGCCCCAAGATGCCGAGATTCTAGAACACAATCTTGTGTTTCTCTTCTCTTCTTTCCTGTGTGTGCCTGTCGTCCATTCAGTCCATCCCGGCTTCAGCGTCAACAAAACCCGTCCATTGCGACTTCATAAACTGGTTCGAAACATGCGAACCCATCGCAAAGCTCCTCCACGACACCAGCCAGACGCTCCTCGTGCACCAAGACATGAAGCCTCTCCTTGCTATGGACATGGAAAATTCGCCCCTTCGCTACCACTCCAGGCTATGACATCTTCACGTCCGCTGCCGACCCCGAATCAGACTGCTCGCTCGTTTCCCCGAGAAACCCGATATTTTCCATCCTTTTTCGCCATGGACTCGGGCTGTCAGCGACTACGGCCACGACCGCTGCACTCACGCTTCCCCAGCGCTGCCTCTGGCATCCTCGGCATGCTTCTCATCACTTTCGCCTGCCTACTTATTCAACCAGCCACCGCCGTCTTGATCCCTTTCGACAACTGTCTTGACAGCTCCTACACACAGGCCGAGACCGAGACTGGCGTCCCTAATCTGCAATGGAACGCCCTCTATGTTGACGCTCGGTTCGACAACGAAGATCCCGCACACAATCTTCAAATTATTGTCTGGGGAAATGTCACAGGCTCATACACTGTCAAGACTAACGACACAGTCCCTGGCCCAGATGACCCTTCGTGGAATGACCCCTCAAGTACATTTGGCAAAATACTTGAAAGACCCGACGAAAAAAATCTCACGACTCTTCAGACCAGGGTAAACGTGTTAAGCTATCAGCCATTCTACAACAGAAGCGCGTTCTGTAACGACAGTCTTGTCAACGGGTCCTGCCCCCTGGCTCCTGTCTTTAAGACTGTGTAAGCTGCCTTCGTGTACGTCAATTTCGAACCAAGCTAACTAGACATCAGCGAGAGCCCGTGGGGTAATTTGCCGTCGGTAAACCTGACCCAGGACTTTAACTCTTCTTACGCCTTTTCGTCGTTCGCTTCGACGTTTTTAGTCCTGTACGGAAACACAGCTGCCACGCAGATCAGCTGCGTATCGGCAATCGTAACCCCTGATCTAGGCAGCCTTTCAGCACTTTTGCGTTACCTGCCACTTGTCGTTCTCCTCTTCGTCGGGTTTGCTACCATGTTTGCATCCGTCTTTAGCCCCTGGGGCTCGACAGATATTTTTCATTGGACGACAAATTACGGCCGAGACGAGGATTTGTTGCGCTTGGTGACACCGGGTTTCGGGGACTGTCTTCAGTACATTCAGTTTGTTGCGCTTACTGGTGGCTTATCTATTAACTATCCCGGATTCTATCAGCCAGTTGTAAGCCAAGTAGGCTGGTCGGCACTGATGTTCAACGAAAGTTTTGTGAGCAAATCGCCAGGCTGGCAGGCGATCCAGGATGGCATCTATGTGACGAATGCCACATATGGACTTCACCGATATGCTCAAATGATTGGTATGACCGATGTCGAAGACATCTGGGCCGGTACAATGGTTTGGGTATGCGTCATTGTGGGGGCCCTTTTCGTTCTGATCCAGCTTGGCTTCTTTTTCCGTTGGGTATTTCGACTCATCAGCAACACTCCTGAGGAGGATCTCCGCGCCAAGAACATTCCGTTCTCAGTCGGCAATATCGTCCGGGTCGTCTTCAACTATCTGCTACTACCAATTGTCGCTCTCTCGACGTTCCAGCTCGTTGTCGCCGGCCAGTCCCAAGAATTTGCCGTTGCGTTGGCTGTCATCACTTTAATCATCTTGATCTGCTTCGCCGCATGGTTGCTATACTTGATTTTCAAGACCCGGCCAAGAGCAGTTCTGTTTGACGATCTGCCTACGGTACTCCTTTACGGACCTCTCTACAACACATACTCAGACGAAGCTGCGGCATTTGCCCTGATACCGGTTAGTCTAACGTTCATTCGCGGTATCACTATCGGAGCTGTGCAGCCAGTCGGTATTGCGCAGATCGTTATTCTTGCCATATGCGAGGTCATCTACGTCTTGACCCTCCACGCATTTCGCCCTTTCCAGTCCCCAACATCGATGAATGCATACCACACCCTTTTCTCCGTTCTTCGCTTCGCTACCGTTATGCTGATGGTAGCGTTCGTTCCTCAAATGGGGGTGACAGAAGGGCCAAAGGGGTGGATTGGGTACACCATCTTGCTCATCCACGCGTGTGTTTTGGTTCTAGGATTCATGCTCAACGCCCTCCAGACAATCATCGAAGTCACCGCAAGACTTCTTGGTGCTGGCGGTGATGACACCCGGGGTTTGCAGCGAGGCGGCTTATCCAAGATTTTCGGCATGCGGCAGTTGCAGCGGCGCACTTCTCGACGAAACAATGGGCCTTCCCGAGCAAGTCAATTGTCAACTACCGGCATGCTTGACGCAGACGAAGCGTCGAAGACTGGTTATGTGATGCGTGGCGGTAGGCTAAGGAGTGAGTCGGCAGGCAGTGGATTTCTACTCAGAAGCCAGCATCGCAGCTCTTCCGCCCTTGACAGCATCGATCCCTACACCGGACAGGTTCGGAACTTCGACAGTGGCAGCAATTTCACTCCGACAACTCCAGGTGAAGTCAGCACCTTCTCGTTTTTACCGTCGCCTGCTGCTGCAACCAGGCCACCAGCTGCCGTGACGGTGGAATCCGCTGACCCTTATTACCGGCCTCCGCGACGTCGCGGAGATACACTCAATGGCTCATCCACCTCGCTGAACCGACAATCAGTGGCCGAGTCGCGTCGGTATAGCCAAGCAGGCACACATTTAGGGGATGCGACTGCGGATCTTGAGGCCCAGCTTTCAAGAGGACCTACACCGGCCCCTCAAGCCATTAACTTGACGCCGAGGGCAGACTATTCGACGAGAGAGGTCGACTTTTACTACGGCGTCAGAGGTCCGGCGCTGAATTCGGAAGGAGTGGGCCGCAAGCTTGGAACCGGTCCAGCCGACCCTACTGGTCCGATGTCCTCGGCTGCTGGATGGTTCCGCAATTTCTTTGGAGGCAAAACCAAGGAGAAGGGCAAAGGTTTTGAGGTGGTGCGCAGCTCAAGGATGCCACCTGCTATGCGCGCAGCAGCTGATGCAGAGTACGAGGCTGAACCTCCGCCGGAAGGTATACCTGTGGCCATGGGCGTCCTTAGGAACGGGCCGATCGAGTCAGATGACGACGAACCCAAGAACAAGGCGACTCAGAAGCATGCCGAGAACACGGAGAATGCCGAAAATTCGGAAAACCTACTCAACGATGATGGAGTTTCAGTTGTGTCATCGGACTCGGAAATTGAGACGGTTAGCATTCCGAAAGTTTCTGATGCGCCGCCTATGCTTCCCGGGATCGCGAGTTCGGGCAGTTTCAAGCTCCCAAGTCGAGTGGCGTCTAAGGCAAGCCGACAGGCGTCTCAGAAACACAGGCGCCAGTCAACGGAATCAGACATTCCTGAAATTCCAAGAAAAAGCTCGAAAAGGGATTCGGCCATGCTCCGTGGACATTCACCCACGCCTTCGTTCAACCTGATCCCGCCAACGTCACCCACGGGGCCTCTATCTGGTCCTTCTGATGGCGAGATGCATACGCCGGGCAGCTTAGCCTCGTCTCCAAACCCCGGTCGTCTTCCCTTTCAGCGTTCAAATTCTCACCAGAAACGTCTTTCATCCAACGGATCATCCATGGAAGAATTCAATATTCGTAGAACGCCAAGCACGGAGCGACCAACAAGTTATGGCGTGGTTGCACAACACAGCATCAGTCGAGTGGACCCTGGGTCGGACCAGCAGGTCGATCTCCTCGGCACCTCGGCAGAGCTCGTCGATGAACGAGGCCCTTCGAGCCGGAGCTCCTCAGCGGAAGGACGAGCTCGTTAGCAGTACATCTCACTCCACTGTGCATTTCTTGTTTTAATTCTTTAGTTATTTTCATCAACACGGGGATCACTCAGTTAGTACACACGATATATAGATCCACCCCGGCGGAGTACTCTAAACCCCTGGTTGCTGAGCAAAATGATTGTGGGTTGGGAAAGGAGTCCGGTTTACATGGTTTTCAGCGACGGCGTCATAAAATCTGGATTAGGCTGGTATGTATTGGGTGGGCGGATGTTATGCTTGAAATATGTCTCAGAGGACTTGGGGAGATTTGGGTGAGAACTGTATCTAGTCATGAGGCTTCCTCGCGAAGGTCAATAGTCCCAATGCAATAGCTTGATAATCGCTCGTGTCCTGGGCAACTCAATCTTTAACGGACATGGGAGCAAGGTGTACGGCATGGCAAGGATGCATCGGATGGGTGTGCACTTTCAGAACCCTGACAGCTGCTGACACGAACTCCCTGTGATTAGCATCTACTAGCTGAAGAAGCTGTCTGACCCATGTCTTGGTCTGAAAATCCAGAAAGAGAAGCCGCGGCTTTCGGTGATTTCTGTTGGCCAGAACTCTGTGGACAAAAGTATTTTATTTGAGATGAGGTAATAATGTCAATGTCGGTCACTGGTGAAGCTCCGGTGTATTATGGTTGGTTACCTACTGTACCTACCTTAGCTTGCCATCCTACTTGCTATCGATAAGATTGTGTGATAAGAATTTTTCGACAGGCCCGGAACCCACCACCAGCCCCAATGCATGCTCGTTCAACTCACTTCTCATCCATCTTTCACACGATTTCTTTCTTTGATACTGAACACTTCGACACGTCGTTTCTCCTCCAACCTCATTGACTCGGCCCAAAAGAACAACATTGCCAAAAATGGCGCCAACTCGCCCAAACAAAAAGTCGAAAAAGAGAACTGAAAAGAAGGCTGTCGACCCCGGACTACTCCTCGCCGAGGCAGTCGCAAAGCTCCAAGAAGGCGATCTTGAGAAAGCGGTCGCGGCCGGAAAGAAAGCGCTCGATGGCACCGGCTCAGGCGGAGACTATGAGCTGGCGGCCATCAATCTTCTGGGACAGATCGGCATTGAGATGGGCGAGATCGACGATGCAAGAGCCTATTTTATGAAGGCCGTTGAGCTCGACCAAGACGGTTCTCTGGATGAGCGCATAGGCGGTGGGCCTGAGAAGTTCCTCTGGCTGGCGCAACTCAGCGAAGACGGCGGTCAAGACAGCGTGAATTGGTTCGAGCGTGGAGCATCGTCGCTCAGGGGTCAGATTCAGACCTTGGTGGACCTACCGAAGCGCAACGAGGAACAGGAGGCGCAGCTCGAGGAGAAGAAGAAGAAGCTGGGCGGAACACTATGTGCCGTTGCTGAAGTGTACATGACGGATTTGTCATGGGAGGCCGATGCGGAGCAGAAGTGCGAAGCGCTCGTCACAGAGGCGCTGTTGGTGGCGCCCGATCTGGCGGAAACATGGCAGACTGTTGCCAACGTGCGGATATCCCAGGAAAAAACGGACGAAGCGAAGGAGGCTCTGAAGCGGAGTCTGGAGCTGTGGACTGACTTGCACCCCCTGGACCCCAACGTGCCCGACTTCTCCACGCGCATCAGTTTGGTGCGTTTGCTACTCGAGGTGGAAATGGAACAGGAGGCCATTGATGTACTGGAGAGGCTCGTTGGTGACGACGATCAAAGTGTCGAGGCCTGGTACCTTGGCGGCTGGGCACTCTTCATCTTCGGCGAGAAGCAGAGAGAAAAGAAACTGGAGAGCAAGGACGAGGAGGAATGGAAGGTCACATGGAGCACCTCGCGTCGTTGGCTGATGCGTTGCATGAACCTGTACGCCGCTCAGGAGTATGAGGATGAGCGTCTGGGTGAACACGCCAAAGAGTTGTTCGCCGCAATCAACAAGGAGCTAGGTGACCCCCCGGCAGACGAGGAAGACGATGACGGTTGGGAGGACGCTGCCAGCGATGGTGATGAGGCTATGGAAGAGTAGATAACGAAAACGTCGCTCTACAAATAAGTCAATGATTAGATACCTGGGGAACGAGGGATATCAAACTGCGGCGTTTGGAGTCTGGCAACGAAAAGATATTGATAGAGTCGTGTCTCCTCCTTTTCTGGAGGGATTTCTTCAATAAGGCATACAGATGAGGTCTACTACCCAACCCGCTTCAGTCCTCCTTAGATCCCACACCATGAACCCAAAACGCCAGTGTAATGCACTCTCCCCCTATCTGCAGGAACACGCGTGTCCCCTCACGCAGCTTCCACCTTGAGCCTTTCGACACCCTCAGTCAAACCGCCCTCATCGTCATCGTCATCAACCTTGCCGGCCAGACCACGCTCCCAAAGCTGCTTCCCCGTCAGCTTCACGGGCTCCTTGACCTTGGCCTTCTTCAGCTCCGCGAGACGCTCCTCCTCTTCCCTCTGCCGTAGTTCCTCCATCTCCTTGATGAAATCGGCACGCCACTTGAGGAAGGTCTCAGGCGTCACTGGTGTGCCCTGGAACTTCTTGTTTTCCTCGCGCTCGGCGGCGAGGACAGCCTCTTCGTGCTCTTTGTCCTTGGCATGCTTGCGCTCCTCGACGAGGTTCTCGGCAGCTTCCTTCAAGGTCGTGACTAAGGTAAAGACCATTGCCATGCCGAGGTTCTCCTGTATCGTCTCTCCCAGTCCTTGGAGGAGGCGCTCCTTGTCTTGCGAGACGTTGAACCACTCGTGCGGGGCTGCGTTGGGAGTGGACTGCAGGTCGAGCATCGGCGCCTCATCGGGGTAGGCTTCTGGATATCGCACCTGCAAGAGCATGGTGGGCGGCTCTTCGTCGCCGAGGACATCAAGGACGATTGATATTCTGTATTCGGTCTCCGAGACATCTGGCACCTGGGTTTAGCGACATGTGCGGCGAATGTGCCATGCTCAATGGTGGGGTAATCGAACCTGTGATCTCCTCTGGAAAGATGGAATCGAGCACCTCGCGCTCTTCGACCTGCTCTTCGCGACCCATGATTAATACTGCAACCAGGGATCAGTCTATGGATGTTGCTGAGGAGGGATCGAGGTGACCTGGCAGTGGGCACGCAGTTGGCTATGTTACGTCCTTGAGAGGTACGACATTAGAAGCCGCTTTCTTTAGGTAAGGTAGTGGAGGTACGTACATGCATAGTAGTGGGGTTGATGATCGACTTGAGCTTAGCGCAGTGCTGACCGCCCGGCAATTCAAATAAAATTTCAGATTTCCAGCACTTTGATGGGCGCTGTGAGCACCTTCCGCCAGCCTAGTCGTCCCAGTGTTTTCCGAGACAGAGAGCTCATACTTTGCGATTGCTTCTGTTCCCAGCACAACACTCGCACCTTACAATGGCTGCCAACGGTGTCAAGGCAGGCAGCAAGCGCAAGGCTGCTCCCGCTTTCAAGGGCGTCTCTGACAGCAAATCAAAAAAGACCAAGTTCGAGAAGAAGGCTGCGCCCGTCGAGACCTCCGAGGACGACGAGATGGAGGATGCTGCAGAGTCTTCAGACTCTGACGATGGCGGAGTTAAGCTCAACCCCCAGGAGAGGGCGAAGCAGGCTCAGGCGAATGGCAAGAAGGAAGGCGCCAACTTCGACAAGAGCAAGCAGTTTGAGAAAGGTAAGCCACATAAGTCGGAACCTTTGCGATTGCGACTTGTACTTACAGACATTGCACAGGACAAACTTCGAAGGAGTCCCATGCCATCCAAAAGAAACTCGCCCTCGAGCGCAAGGCCGCGAAGCCCCTGGCCGATGAAGTGCAACGAACCAAGAGGATTTGGGAGCGGTTGAGGAGGAAGTCCCACGTGCCCTCCGAGGAGAGGAAGCAACTCGTCGATGAGCTCTTCAGCATCATCACCGGACGGATCAAAGAGTTTGTCTTGAAGCACGACGCGACCCGTGCTGTTCAGACTGCGATCAAGTACGCGACAGCCGCGCAAAGGAAACAGATCACGAAGGAGCTACAGGGAACGTACGCCCAGCTCGCCGAGAGCAGATACGCCAAGTTCCTTATCGCCAAGCTGATCGTGCAGGCCGACGCTGAGATCAAGGAGATCATCGTTCCCGAGTTTTACGGCAAGGTGCGGAAGCTGATCAATCACCCTGAGGCCTCTTGGATCCTGGACGACATCTACCGTCAGATCGCTACGAAGGAGCAGAAGGCCATCATCCTGAGAGAATGGTACGGCCCAGAATTCGCTTTGCTGGAGCGCAACAAGGATGAGAAGCCGACATCTGATCTATCCGAGATTCTCGAGAAGAATTCTAGCAAGCGCGCTCCCATCTTGAAAAGTCTCCACGACATGATCAACTCTTTGGTGCAGAAGAAGATGACCGGCTTCACTATGCTGCACGACGCTATGCTGCAATACTTCCTGAACATCAAGACCGGCACCGACGATTTTACCATGTTCCTCGAGATGATCAAGGACGACGAGACTGGTGACCTGTTGAAAAACATGGCATTTACACGCTCGGGATCTCGACTGGTGGCTCTTCTCTTGGCCCACGGCTCATCCAAGGACCGTAGGAACCTACTGAAGGCTTTCAAGGACAACTTTGTCCTGATGTCGGGTGACCCATTTGCTCACATCGTGATTCTGACTGCCTTCGATGTTATCGATGACACGAAAATGACACAGAAGGCTATTTTTCCTGAGCTGATTGGCGATGACAAGGACAAGGCGACGGAAAACATCATCGTTTCCACGACAAACCCCTTTGCTAGGGCGACGCTCTTGTATCTGCTTGAGGGCCAGTCCAGAGCAATCTTCCCTGCTAGCATGAACGAGGATCTTGCAATTCTGAAGGAGGTGCACGAGATCCGCCAGACCACCAGTAAGAAGGATGCCGATATGAGGAGAAAGGAGTTGGTGGTTGCCATATCTCCGGCTCTCATCGAGGCCGTGGTGTCCTCAGCACACACACTAGTTGCAGACCCCTTTGGTTGCCAACTTGTTGCTGATGTACTGCTTTCTGCCGAGGGCGATAAGACGCAGGCCCTCGAGGCTGTTGCGGCTGTTGCCGAGGGTGATCCCAGCGCGGAGCCCATGGAGGAGGACGGCATTGTTACCCCGGTCCATGTCTCCCGCACACCATTTGGAGGTCGTCTGATCAAGACTTTGATCGCTGGTGGCAAGTTCAACAAAGAGACCGGTAAAGTCGAGGCTGTTGATCCACCATTGAGGTTTTCCGATGTCTTATACCCAGTGGTCAAGGATTACATTCTTGATTGGGCCACGGGGCCGAGTTCCTTTGTTGTTCTCAACATGCTTGAGGCCGAGGACTTCAGCCACGCCTCCGAATTGAAGAAGATGCTCAAGGCCCACAAGAAGGACCTCCAGAAGGCCGCAACGGAGGAGTCTGCGGAGCAAAAGGCGGACCGGGAGGCCAGGGCCCAGAAGGAGGCCGAGAAGAACGAGAAGGGAGCAAAGAAGCGCAAGAAAGGCGGAGACAAGCCTGTCGGTAATCTCGGCAGCAAGCTCTTGTTGGAGAAGCTCTAGGCGAGGTTGAATGTGAATGGGTTTGCGGAGCAAAAGAGAAACCAAAAGTTATTAATGTTGTTCAATACTCGCACGCATACGGCAGTGCGGCGACTCGATGTGCGGACGGCGTCCAAGAGGTTCCCGTAGCTGGGTGGCATAAATAGAAGGAGTTTGGTGGTTATCATCTTTGATCATTGAATGTCTCATGCAGTTGGCTAAGGACTTGAGATCGCCTGACTCAGATCTTACGCTGGCAAAGAAAACGGGGTCCAGATGCTGGCAAACTTCGTGGCTTCGGATAGTGTCTCAGGTATCTCGAGACGTAGAGGATGCAACGGGCGTGGTGCGTTTCTCCAGGTTTGTTTTACAGTCTGTTTCCGTCCATGACTACCGCCCTTACGTCGTTGGATGTTGTAGCGAGTTGACCTCGTCAACCAAAAAAGCATTGATCCGGCAGCGAACATATTCCTTGCTCTGAACACGGCCAAGTGAGAGTGCCAACATCGTCAATGACAACGCCATGAGCATGAACTTTAGCCCTCAAACCGCTGTAGACGGGACAAAAATCACTAAAGAGGATTCGTGAGTTGCTTTTTGTAGTGTTGACCCGATGATCCGTCCTATCTTGGCACAGGTTCCCCAAATGGAGGCGATGAGGAAGCAGAGGCATGGCCAGTGAATGCTCGAGGTGAATAAGTGAATGATACGAGATGGCATATAATCAATCGGGTCCGATGGGATTGTCAAATCGCGGCCATGGGTGAACATTTCCTATCTGGGACGGTAAGAAGCACAAGCTGGACAAGGACTCCTTCAGTCAGGGAAGGTAGGCAAGGGGCTAGTGACACTATCCCATCGTGCCTTCCTTTCATACCTGGGAGACGACACCAACCTACCGCCGTTCAATCCTCCCCGTCTGCGCGCCTGACCTCCTTCCATTTTGCTACCCAACTGAAAAAAATAATAATCCAGCTAAGCGGCCTCCAGGCGCTGTTGAATAACGCCTGGGCGGCTTTTTTCTTCTCTTTCTTTTTTTCTAACACGTTGGCAATCCGTCACTCTTTTGGCCCAGGTAACTTGGATCCATCACCACTTCACCCATTTCCACTTCGCTACCGTCGCTCTGTGATGGTGGCACGAGGCGTTCTCATACTTTTACCAACATCAATTTCTTCTCGTTACTTGAAACTATTAGCTCACCTCCACCCATCAAGACCAGCAGCAACCATCATGCGGTTTGCCCTCACTTCGCCGCCTCAAGCCCAGCAAAAGGCACGCGACGTGCGCACCGCTTGCCTGGCCGGGGAGGATCTCTTCGAATGCCCTGGCGGTTTCAAGGGTTGCTGCACCTCCAGCCCTTGCGGCACCAAAATCTGCATTCGCAGGGGTGAAGCCACCGACAAGAAGACGATGACCATCGCAGCTGTCGCCCCGCCCGTCCTGGCCTCGTCGGGCCCCATCATTCCGGCGAAGACCCTGCCCGAGAAGCAAGTCGGCGTCACCACCTATTTCGATATCCAGCCAACTACTGGAGGTGGTTACTTCTCTGACAGCCTGACTCTGCCTTCACCCACAATCGTCACCTCGAATCCTAGCACCACCGCCACTCAGGCCTTTGTCCCAGTCATTTCAGCTACCGCACTTGCGACCAAAGAGTCGGATTCCCAGCTAACAGCTGCTGCCAAGGGTGGTATCATTGCCGGTGCTGCTGCAATCGTGCTGATCGTAATCGTTCTCTACTTCATGTGCGGCAAGCAGAAAAGGAAGCTGAGAAATAAGGATTCCATCGACTCCCTCGACAAGCATGGAATCGAGGGCGGCGGTACTACCGAGGAGGATGGGCAAACCAAGCCGGCCAGCCCCTCACAGCCTGATGGAGCCCGTCAAGGAAGCCACGCGAACGAGACCAATGATGCGACCAGGCCTGAGGACGTATTTGCATCTTTCGGAGGTAGGCTTTTGATATTGATGACGTTCAAGTTCCTTGACTGACACCTCGTAGGACGATACGAAGAGCCCCAGAGTCGTTTCAACCGGGTCAGCGACATGAGCTCCAACAGCAGAATGATGAATCATCCCGTCAGCCCCATGTCTCGTGAGACTGCCTCTCTCCCAGCTCCTGCACCTCCAGCATCTGCGGTTGTTGCTAGATCCGTTACCGCCAGCCCTGACTTCGTGTCTCGTCTGGGCACAGCAACCCCTGAGCTCCAGGGCCCCCCACAGCAGGCAGCTATTGCCGAGTTGGCTTCTCCGGGACTTCCCAAGGTCGTCGAGATCCACAGCAGCCGCAGTGGTATCCAGAAATACAAGCCCTACCGTCCCAACGCAACAAACCTGTATCCGGTTGCCGAGACTACGCCCAGCTACCTTACGGGTACGTTGAATGCTACAAAGGAGGAGCGGTCTCGCAAGACGTACGTGAACAGCTGGAAAGAGTGGGAGTCAACTGCCTGAGCAAAGGCACGAGGACGCCCATCACTGAGACGGGGCTAACGACTTTGACGGCCTTTCAGGGGTAAGGATGGTTTGGAATTTCGCCGGCGTTAACGATACCCAGGAATTGCTTTTCTTACTTGATTCGCCTGGTCGGTCGGTATTTGTCAGAATCAATTCGCAGATAAAGTTTGAGGAATCAGTTTAGGAACTAAGCTGGCCAGGAGACCAGCCTTGCAGGGTCCCTAAATAGGCCTACTAATAATCGATCGTCTCTAGTCGTAAAAAGCGTACCTGTCCATCGTCACCTGCGCGTACTGCGTGAGAGTAAACATGGCTCGTGGCATCCAGCAAGGCGAATGCGCGCGCGTGCTCGTTATAGGTCAAATCGTAGGGTATTTAGGTATTCGACACATACGTACTAAAACAATCTGGTCCCCTCCAGTTTACGCCAAAATAAATGCAGCGTGGTTTTCTTATGCAGAAAGATTCCCGGTCCTGTCCCATTTTCATTTATTCTTTCCCCGCCATTTGATCATCTCCCTTTCCTCTCTCTCGTCCGTGTCTTTGGGCGTCTCTCCCAGGGCGAAGCAGATAAAGTGTCTAGTCCCGAGTCGCGTGCCTACTGGCCGGGCCGTACATTGCTTCAAGGCCACAGGAATCCGGGATTGGTAGTGCGGTCGCTACTAGTGCGTCATCTGCTCTGCAGCTTGCTAATCTCGTCGAGGAGTATTTGCAGGTCGTCATCGCTGATCTTGTCCTGGAGGGACGGGATAAGGGTCTTGGCCTCCTCGGCGGTTTCGCAGCACAGAGAGCCTGGAAGAATGGTAAGTCGGGAGGCTGTTCATGGCGCACGATGACGGGACATTTTGCGTACCTATTTGCGCCCGCTCAAATTTGGCCAGCTGCTTGTGGGCACTCAGCAGTCGCTCAACGGCTTCCACGTTCTCCTTTTGACGGAAACGGGAAAAGGCATCGAGGTAATTCAAGGTCTGGGTCAGCATTCTGGCAAGCGTATTAGTGACTACATTCTCTCGAGGCCCAATTCAGTGCTTGATGGACTGAAAAGCCGTGCGGAACGGCAGGCGCATTGCTCACTCGGTCTCGTTGATGTTCTTGCGATCCATCTTCCGCTTGGCAACCAGCGCATTGATGACGAGGGAAGCTTCTGACAGCGTGAGAGTGTCCACGTGTTGGAATTCGCCGAGATTCAGAACGCTCGACGCTTCCTCACTGCCGGGCGGCGGGGGCTTCGGGCGCGACGTGGGTGCGTGATGGGACATGTTGGGCGTCTCGTGAGGATGGTGGTGGGTGGCTTAATCGTCGATCGCGACCACAGGCGGGAAGAGACGCGTATAGTGGGCAATGCTGCGGGTGGCGGTGACGGGATAAACGGTCCAAATGAGTATGTCGCAGAATCAGAAACGTCGGCGCGGAGGCATTGACTATACTGTGTAGTGTGGTTGCGTGAGGCTGAAGGCTCGATAAGAGTTGAGAAGACTCCACTGGTAGGTAGTCGGAGTAGTGCTCCATGTGTGTTGCTTGCTTTCAGTTTGGCAGGTCCACGGGCCTTCGGGGCTAGCGCAGCCGCGGCCGTAGGGGTGAATGCCAATTTGTGGGTGTGGCTGTAGTGGGTGGCCGCTGTGTGGCAGGAGCCACCTTAGCAGAGGCCAACTGAGGTGTCTAGTTGAGATCGGGATTGGCGAAAAGTGAGATAGATCAACATCGATGAGAAGAGGCCAGAACAGAAACCTCATTCCATTCGAAGAGTCGCCAGCCGTGAGCTGATCGGACCGATAGTCATGTACGTGCCGGCCCGCGTCGTGTCCTGGAGTGGTTGACTGACCTAGACACAGGACCGTATTCGCGCTCATCGTCATCAACAAAGCAGGCGGTTTGATTTACAACCGCACCTTCCACGATGGCGGCCTCAACCAGCTAAGCACAAATGACTATCTTGTGCTTGCAGGCACCTTCCACGGGTGAGCAGGGCCAGGCAACATCCATCTACCCCAACGAAGCTGACATGGCTACAGCATCCATGCCATCACCGCCAGGCTTCACCCCCTGAAGAACCAGCAGGCAGCAGCCGCAGCTGCTACAGCAGCAGCGGGAGGCATTCCTAGCCGCCCGGAGCCGCCGTCAGGGCTCGAGGTCATGGAGACGGAGAACTTCAGGTTGCAGTGTTTCACTACCATGACGGGCACCAAGTTCCTGCTCTTCACCGACACAACGCAAACCAACATTGATGTGATATTGCGAAGGATATACGATCTCTACAGCGACTACGTCATGAAGAATCCCTTCTACCAGCTGGAGATGCCTATTCGTTGCGAGATGTTTGAGCGAAAGCTCCTATCATACATTAGAGAGATCAACAATCGATAGATTGTTACTAGACAGGCGGCTTGTGTGACGAGGGTTATGGGGTTTTCAACTTGAACCGGGAAGGGAATTTTCATGTAATGGCGTTTGCGGAGTACCAGGACCTTCTATTGAGCAGCATGTGCCTCTAGGACCAAGCCAATATTCTATTTTACACACTCATGGTGATGACGCAAACAAACCATCGATCAGGGTGGCATCGATTCCGATTACGAGGTATCCATCCTGTCATCGTCTTTCTTGTCGTTCTTCTTGCTCGACTCGCCTCCGTCCTTGTTGAGCAGGGGGGCATTCTCGCCTTCCTCCTTGATATCATCCAGCGATCCCTTGCCCGCCGCATCGGCCTCCTCGCGCGCCTTCTTCTCCTGTCTTGCCTTCTCGTCCTCCATACTCATACGCAGGGCGAGGGCAAGTTCCGGATCCATAGCCGGATCGAAGTCGAACTCTCCAAAGTTGCCGCCTCCGCCGCTCTCCATACCACCGCTACCACTACCACCTGCGGCGTCACCCAGCAGGATAGGGCTAGAGATGAGCTGGTCGCTGAGCAACTTGCTGCTTGGGGGGATGACGACAAGGTGGGAACCTTCGCCACCCTTGACACTTTCGTTGAATGCTTGCAGCTTCTTCTGGGTGTCGTCATCGTCGAGGTCACCGAAGAGCACGAAATCGACCGAGATATTGCCCTTCTTCATCTTCTTCGCCAGCTGCACCAACTTCTTCTCCTCCTCCTCGATAGGCGAGCAAACGAAGACGATTATCCGTTGCCTTTGGGACTTGTTCTGACGGTGCTTGAGGGCGAGCTGCGAGAGGCACGGAGGTTAGCGGGGGGAAGCCGAATCAGAGCATTGTGAAGGTGATTCATTCAGATGCACTTACACCAGCAACTTGGATGCCCGTTGCGAGGTGTGATGAGCCCTTGATCTTGGTCTTGGTGCGGTGCAAGCCGTCGAGAATCTTGCCCTGATCTGTCGTGAGAGTGACCAACACCTCGGGTCCCTTGCCCCCCATGCTCATGAGGCCGACAGAGGACTCGGGGTTGCCGTTGGTGATTGTCTGGAAAATGACATTGACGGCGTCGGCTTGGGAATCGAATCTTGTGGGCTGGTAGTCCCCGTTGCGACTGCTTTCGCTGTTGTCGACGACGACCATCACCGCTTCCAGGACCATCTTGACGGTGGTGCGAAGAGCCGGCTATCAAATGAAGATGGTGTACGGAGGTATTCAAAGGATCAAGTCGTGGCGACCGACAGATTCGGGTCGGTGGGAAAACTTGTGAAAAGGTGTCGTGGTGGATGTGTTGGTGGATGGTGTAGCTTCGGATGGCTGAGGGTGAGCTTGGTGTAGGTGGGCGGGTGGGAGAGCTCCTGCGTAAGGCAGTTCAGCCTGGCGATACTGGTTGCGTCCATGTACTGGGTACCTGGAAGGTGCGGCTGGCTTGTCGTTCTTACAAGTACCTGCCTCGAAACAAAGCAACACTACCGACCTACACACCAAGCATCCAGATTGGTCGTCAGTGCTGTCAAGAAACAGTTCTGTGCCATGTGCGAAAGCTCTCTTCTACAGGGGCTTTCCCATCCATACCGCTGATCACCCCTCAAAGTTTCGCCAACACTCGCAAACTAAAATCCCAAATACCTAGTGTAAGCCTTCGTTTATGCTACTGACAAATGAGCCCTCCATACATCACCTCACTACTTGTCAAAGTTGTTCGTCGTTGTCAGCAAGCATCATAGGGGGGATCTACACAGGGTGACAATCACTAAAAAAGGCTGGCACCACTAAGGGAGTTCCGTCCGGGCCCGCTTATGTAAGACGCTGTCTGTTGAGTTTGTTTACTTCTTCGAGCGCTAGCCACTCACAACACGGCTTCCGCCCCCGTCAGCTTTAGCTCAGCATCCTCCACGCTTTCGTCGCGACCAGGCTGTTAACTCATCGCCAACTACTATCGCGCAAACCCTTCTCCCGCAAATACTAGCAACATGCCTCCCGCACGATCAAAGAAGAGATTCTCAGACGATATTGATCAGTCTACCACAATGCAAAAACAGACGATACCTACCAAAACGGGCACCCCCCCAATGTTGAGCAGTAGCCCAAGCAAGAGGCAGAGGCTCGGAATTACGCTGGAACAGAAGCAGGCGATTATTGACAACTTGCAACTTGAAAGTATGTTCAGGACTTCAATGAAAGGTCATCGAGCGCGCGTTTAACGGTATAAACAGTCACGGATCGCGCCAGAAGACTACGCGCACAATACAACCAGCAAGCCCAGACTCTGCGATCACGCATTCAGATGCGTGTCAATCGCGTACCCCGATCTATGCTGAAGATGACCATGGCCGACTTGGTAGCTAGAGCCGCCGAACAGCAAAAGCGTCTTGAAGCATTATCGCGCCCACCTCCAGTGCCTGAGAAGGACTTCCCTCCACGGTCAAGTCCCCAGAAGCTCGCACCCCCACCGCGATCCACAAAGCGATTGAGGTTGGTTGTCCATTCTCCGGCTATGCTGATTGATGCATGCTAAACCATGAAAACAGCGATGCCATAACAGGCGGAGATAAGGAGAATGAGCAGATCGTAAACCCTAAGAAGAAGCACCGGGCAGGCCCTTCCACGACTGCTTTGAGCTCGTCTCAAATTCTGTCGCCAACATCGTCCAATACTCGATCCTTGATCCGTGACCGACCTCTATCGTCTCCATCGAAATCTCATGTTGGCCGACCGCCGTCATCTCCAGTCAAGCAGCACAATAGTGCTCGTTCAGCACTATCTAACATGGTAGAAAAGGCAAAAAAGAGCAGCCGTCCAGCCGCACAGCGCGCGTTGGCATCCTCTACGAACAGCTCAAACGCGTCGGCCCCTATAAACGCGTCAGCTCCTGCGACTACACGAACCAAGCGGGCCAACACGACAACAGCGGCCAAAGCACCTTCTCGACCGGCGACGCGGACAGGCAAGCGAGTGAGCGACTCCAGCGAGGGTAGCACGGGAACTGTTGTCAAAAAGACGGCGGCTGCGGTGCCCACCACTACGAAACGGACGGTTATGGGTGCAATTAGGAAGGGTGTTGGAGCCGCGACGACCAGAAAGCCAGCAGCCCCAAAGTCGGCACCAGCGTCCACATCAGGGTCAACCAGGGTGTTGCGGAAGAGAGCATAGATGTCGACCCACTAGATGATGGGCTCGTCGGGGGCCTTTTTTACTTTACTCTGGCGTTGAAGATGTCTTCATGGCGTACCTGGCAGGGACAAGGGGCGTTGAGCTTGAGGGGGGTTGCGTGGGTATTACGACTGTGAGAAATGACACAGGTATAATCAATTGACATGGTACGCCCTCCGATGGTACGACCCATTACGAGCTCGACTTCTTCTTCTTATCCTCCACCAGTTCAATGTTATCCTCGGGTATCTCCTTGTACTTCTCCAGCAAAAACTCCTCAATCTCGTCGCTGACGTCGCCCTGCACGACAATCTCCTCACCACCGCTCGGAGTTTTGGTTACGGAAGAGCCGGTAGCAAACTTCTTCCCAAACTCCTTGGCGACCTTTTTGTTCTCTAGTCCAAAATGTTCCAAGCCAGACACGGACGTGACGAACTTTCTCTTGTTGCGTTCAATTCTCTTGATCGTGACCGTGCTCTTGGCGAGCTTATCGGCTTGCTTCGCCTCGGCGGCCTCGGCCTTGGCAGTTTTCTTCTGAGCATCTTTAGCAGCTCGCTTCTGGGCGTCTACTGACAGGGATGCTGTTGCTGCCTCGAGGGCCTCTGTAATAATTCGTCGTAAGTATCGTATTATGTCGCTAGACTGGTAGTGTGGGATCTGTACCTGCAGACCAGATTCTCTGGTACAGCTCGGGTTGGTGCTTTTGGAGCCACTCCTGGCACTTCTTCACGGTGCCTCCATATTCGCAGTACTATGTTGGTCAATTTGGATGAGTATGTCGGACGCCCTAAGGGTTGCCATGGTTCTGAAGCGTACCTCTGGGGGAAGAGTGCAGACTAGACGTGGGGTAAAGCAGGTCAGAATTCGCGCCTCGAGTGACATTACAATGCGCCTGTTACTTACCGCCGCAGTAGACTATGTGGCGACCTTGAGGCTCGCCTGAGATCTCTGACTTGTCATTGTCGGCCATAACGCAAGAAAGGGCCGAAGCAAAGCAGGAAACGGAGGTGTAGAGAAAGAAAGTGCTCGCGAAGTGAAGCACGGGGTCGAGGAAGGAAGTAGACGCGTGCCTCCCAAGTCTCTTCCAAGGACGGCCGACTGCGGGGTTGATCGATGGCGGGGCATGCATGAACTGCCACGGCAGACCACCTTCTGTTGATTACCTAAGTGACGTGGCTTGATCTCCAGCCACAAACCACGCCGAGTGGGGTAACCATCGCAACCGCCAAAGTCAATCTACCCTTGCCTAGGTAATGTCTACACCCCTCGATTGCTTCGAGCCGCGGCTCCTGGCCAGCTTCTCAGTCGTTGCCGCCCGACCCCAGGCCACCGTCTTTCGATTCCTCATACCACCAGGCCAACGTCGTAGCTGAGCAAGCTATGGCGGATGTATCACGCACAATTAACATCAAAAAGACGTGTGTGCTGCTGCCAACGCGAAGATCGAATGCAGAAGTCAGGACCGAAAGTTCATCAAATTCTTGCATAACCAGTCTCAACGAAATCCATGCGCCAGTCAATAGTTTGTTCTCCGCAAGGCCCTCTTAGAGGCCCTTCGGTTTAAGGCTCGCGGTTGGCCGAGTGGCCTGCCTCCAACCCCCGTCGCATCTAAGCGCCGGGTTGATATCCAGTATCATCATTGGCCGGTGACTCGACAGTCGTGCATCTCGGATCGCTCCCACCACCCGCCTCTTGAATTCGCGCGCGCCAGCCAGTCGCTGCTCGCCCATACCATGCAGTGCATGGTCGGCCTCTGTGATCCAAAATTAGACACGTCTTCGAGCTCACTGATTGGATCGAAACATTGCTCGTGGCTCGATGCAGTAGCCCTTTCGGATGGAGATGGGCTCTCTCGTCTTCCCATCACCGCCTTCTCGCCCTCTCAGGCGCCGGCAACACGTCCATTTCGGGTCACTGCAGCCTCTTCTAGCAGGCGTGCTGCATGTGATGCTACGCAGTAAACGCATTGTTTCGAAAATGTTGCGCTGTCCCTCCGTCGTGGTTGCATCTGGCCATGCCACTGCCCCATCATGCGCGTGTGCGTGGAAGCCAAGGCAGCGTGCTTTGCAGCCCACTCGTGCGGACACCATCTCAATTAGCCGCCTCCAGCAGTGAAGAATAAGGTCTCTCACGAGACTATATCACTCGTCGACGGCCAACCGCCGGGCCTCCTATCCTTTCCTCCCCTTCTCCCATTACTTTCACCACCGCGCCATTGTTGTTACAAACTTTTGAGAGCTTCATTGACTGAAGCGGCCTGTCGTTATTTCCGTTTTTCTCTCTTTTCATTTCCAAAGCGGCGCAGGTCGTCAACCGATTGTCTGGTATTACCGCACGTCGCATTTTGCCTATATTTATACCGTTACAGTACATCGACCCGCAAGTCTATATCAGGATATCTGACTGCATAAGGGAAGATGGCTGAAAGCGATCAGTTACAACCATCAACATACAGACCTCCTTCACCTTTGCAGGCTCGAAGGGCAGGGAGGTCGCTTAATACTATAATGGAGGAGGAGATCGAGGAGACTGAGGTTCGTCAGTATGCCACCGACAACAGGGGACTCCGAGAGCCGGCCTCAAAGCTCAATATTGAAGCCTGGCTGTCGCCGCTGAGTGATCACTTTCCCACTCCACGGGGCTTCCACTTTCTTTCTGCACCCATCTTGCCGTCCTCGCCGTCAACCACCTCAAACGACGAGGGAAGCTCTCCATCTACAAACTCGAACCTCTGGAACAACCGAGCAAGCGTCATGACGGACGCCACAGAGTTCGACGATCTATATGATGTCAGTGATGAAGATGTGCAACCCGCGCTTCGAAGGACGCCCTCGCGTAAGTCGTCAATCAGGAGACGCAATTCGATCCGCAACGAGGTCCCAAAGCAGTCCGGAGGCGGAGTTCGCAGGGCTTTACCTCCTCTCGTCATTCCTGCCGGTCGAAATGCATCCACCGAAGATTGGTCTGCGGGCCTCAAGAAAGCTCTCGCATCCCCAGTGCCGCCCACGCCGCCGACCCGAGTCGAGATGTCTCCTGCCGTGGTGTCTTTCATGCAGGCTCAGCAGTCGCAAGAGGTTCCCACCATCTCTGCACCGCCGTCACTTGATGGAAGTCTGAGCTCTGAACAGCTAGCACACATGTCGGCGCCTCCGACTCCTGTCATCGGCAGTGAAGGTGGAGACAAGAATGAGGAAGATTGGCCTGGCGTTCGACTTCAACCTGGAGCCCTGGCGACACTACATGCCCTTTCTGGGGATAACGATAGCTTGCATGAGCACGAGGGTGAGCACACCGAACAAGTGATTGAGCTCCCACAAGAACCAGTATCCGAAATGCGCCAACAGCCTCTGAGAATCGTTACGAATCTTCGCCCGCGGCCACAACGCGTGACTGCGCTCTCACCCAGCACCCATCGCCGGTCTCTTGCCGATCTCACCAAGCTCGATATTCCCTCTCCAGGGGGCTTCTTTTCCGGTCTTTCTCCACGAACCAGAACTACTTGGCACATGCCTTCCAGATCGCCCGAGGAGATGATGCCTCCCACATCCACCACGGCAGAGCAGTTCTACCGCTGCCCATGGAACATGGACGCCTCCATCCCCCCTCTGCCGATTGCACAGCCCAGGCTCATCGCCAATGAGAGTGATGAGTCTGTTGAGCAGTTCTACCGCAACTCTTTACCCTCACCCAATCTAATCGTTGAGCAAGTTGTTGAGGTCAGGAACGAGGTCCCTAACGAAGACGACATGCCCACCGCTAGGCCAATCGTCCCAACCATCTTCTCAACTACGTCGAACACATTGGCCGAGGCAGCTTCGGCGGAGCTTGATGACGCGCCAACTGAGATTGTCACCGTCTATGACCCGGAATACGCCCGCAAGCAGCAAGAAGTTGCTCTCTCCAATCTCGACCGGACTGAGATGTGGCTTATGGCTCAGCGCGCGTACCTAAAGCCAGTCGAGGCCGAAACCGATGGGGAAGACAGCAACAAAAACCTTGATACCATACCTGAGGTTGTGGACGAAGACGCCGAGAACCTGCCAGAACCAGAAACTATCGCTCTTCCTATGAAGAAAACTGTTCGCTTTTCCGAGTTTGTGGCCAAGACCAACATCCCCTGCCGTCTGCCATCCAAGCTTCTGAGGCAGGAGTCCGCGTACTACCGTGCTTTCCAGGACTACGTCATCCGCTCCAGCAGACAAGACGTCTTCGTTCACCAACTTCCACGCTTTGAAGCACTGCAGGCTCAGCGTGTCTGCCTCCGGGAGTTTCACCGCAATCAACTTCTGGGCAAGTACCAACTCAGTGTCGTCCCCCAGTCAGCCAAGAAACGTCTCAGTGCCAACGTCGCCCGTGGCGATGACATTCTCATTGATGACCCTGAAAAGATCAAGCGTGAAAAGGAAAACGAAGCCATGTCCCAGATGTCCATCTCTGCATGGCATGTTGCCGCCATCAGAATGTTGAACGGTGGGAAGCTGATCTCAGCTCCTGTTGCTAAGCGTCTCGCTCGCGTTTCGCGCATGGCGCCTGGTCGTGATGGTGTTGCCCGCGACAGAGCTCGAGTTCTCGATCTTGGGGGACAGTCTACTTGCGACTGGGCATGGCACTGCGCGCTGCAATACCCTAACACCAAAATTTACACTGTCACAACCAAGACGATCCGCCAGCTGTCCAACTCCAACGTCCGAGGCCCCCCCAACCACCGCCAAGTGGCCGTCGAGAGGCTTACTCGCCTTCCCTTCAAAGACGACCAATTCGACCTCATCTCGGCGCGTGAGTTGCACAGCATACTCAAGTTCGTTGGCGAGAATGGTGAAGACGAATGGGAGACGTGCCTGAAGGAGTGCCTGCGTGTCCTCAAGCCAGGTGGCTATCTCGAGTTTTCTGTCCTCGACTCGGACATTATGAACGCCGGCCCTCTAGGCTTGGCTAAGAGCGTCGAGTTTGGCTTCGACCTCAAAACGTTGGGCTACGATCCCAACCCCACCAGAATGTTT